ACACAGATGCTCTCCAAGGACTACAGGATGAAGAGTTAGGGAAGTACGTTTCTACATCCTGGAGACACAGAGGCTGGTAGCTCCAGCTAAAGGATGAAGTAACCACTGTTGACTCTACATGAAGAATCACAAGTCCCACTCCATGTTGTCCCTCTCCTGGTTCTAACAGACTGTGCTGCCAGATGCTAGGGTAGGTACACTTAGTGCTGGTGAGCCTTCTGGGATATAGCAAACAGAAGGAGCTGGAGAAGCAAATCGAAGTTAAGTCAGCTGAGTCATGTTGAGACAAGCAAGAGAAAAGACAAAATTGATATTGGCTTGCCTTTAATTCCCCCATTTATTTATTCAATTAGTAATACTAAAAGCATATGTTAGAGTTTATATATACCATAGATCTACAATTAGCTTACCAATAAAAAAGATTAATAAAGGCTGATAATTTCCATTCTACTGCATGATCTAGCTGTCAAGTCTGAGTCCCCTAAGAAATAAGCACAGTAAAATTCTTCCAAAACACTAATGCAATGTCGAATAGCTGAAGGACTTGTTAAAGATGGAGATTTTGCTGGGTGTGGGTCTGGGATGTAACCAGAGAGTTTGCTTTTCTACAGAGCTAGCAAATGTTTCCATGGCTCAGGGATCATCACACTTGGAGTAACACTGTCATGGCAATCTCTCTCAATCTCAGCCAACCTTTCATTCCATTCTTCAAGAAGTAATATAATAATAAACATTCCATTCTGCAAGCGTCAATAACATAATAAAATGCTAGTATTTTAAAAGTTATTCTAACTGTAATGCTTGTAGAATCTGTTGGGCGGCTAGACACTGTCTGAAAGTAATTAGCAGAAAGTGTTTATGTCTTTATGGACCATAGAACTGATATTTGACATGGAGTTATGCATGCAGCCTAGTCCAGCAGCTGTTCCAGGATGTCTACATATAGAGAGGTGGCCTGAGAGACAGCAGTCCAACAGAGAGAGAACTGAGACGCTAAAGCTGTGTTTACTCAGCATGTATATTGCTTTCATGCTGGCTCTACTTCCCTCAGAAGCTTAGCAGAGTGGCCTGTCTCCTGTCCCTGTGTCATTTCCATGAATATATAAAAGAGGACATCTTCTCAAATACTTCCTTGGAACGGCTCTTTCCCAGATCCAACAGACATCAGCTGGCAGATGAATAAAATATAATTAGGTTGAAAAGAAATAACCTTTAAGATTTTAATGTTAATATACCTTTCAAAATCTCCCAGGATCAAGTTAATTTACATTGTCAGTAAAATGTATTTCAAAAGGTGTACAAGTTTTGTTGCAAAAAACCAAGATCCGAAAAGAATTGAATTACATTTTAAGATCACAAATAGTAGTTATTTAAAAATATCATATAGACTGGTGAGATGGCTCATAAGTTAATAGCATTTGAGATATATAATATGTATATGTATGTATTATATGCATGAAAAATCTATAGTGAGGATGGGTGTGTAGCTTAGTGGCAGAGCTCTGGCCTAGCACTACAAGGTCTGGTTTCAAGTCTCAGTATGGGTAAGATGCCTATAAAATGAATAATTGCCTCTTTATTTGCTCTTATACATTTAAATTTAGAAAATGATTATTCATGAACTGGTCTGCAACACACTCTTTGGTTGACAGGAAGGAGGCACCCACATCTCAAACCTATGACTCGAAACTGTGTAGACTTGAGGCCTCCTGTAGTGTTGAGAAGGGAGAGCTTGTTCATCAGGGATCAGGGTGGCGTGCCAGGAATTGTGACACTCGATCCTTCCTCATCCTCAGTTATGCTGAAATCCACATTCCAAAACTCAGGATAGACTTGTCCATCCAAGCCACTCACTCATGCATCTCACCATCTGGCTCTTTGAACATGGAGAAGAAATGATTAGCCCAAATGCTTGTCAGTTTAGCAAGAGAAGATGGCTTAAAGGGAAAATGCTGGATTGGTGTGGGGCTATTCAGACCATTGGTCCGCCCACAGCTGTTCTACCATTCATCTTCACCTTGAGCTCCAGTTTCTTCATCATCAACGTGACAGGATAGGACAAGATGTTTGTTGCCAACATAGCCATTCTGTGGTTCTTTGAAAAGATTTATAAGAAACTAGTTGAAGAGTAATAAACATTCTCCAGATAAACTTGAATAAAACAAAATGAAAATTAAGGATATAAAATACTGAGGATGTGACCACAGAATGCTTGTCTAGCATGCATGAAGCGCTGGAGTAGACACACAGCTCAGTGAAAGCATGGGGTTTTGTTCTGTTTTGCTTTTAAATTTGAAAAAAAAAAAAAACAAGCTTTGATTGTTCTTCTCACAGGCGGGACATGAAAGCTTTCGGTGTCCATGTCTCATGCATTGAACCAGGGCTGTTCAAAACGGAGCTGGCAGATCCAATCAAGACAACTGAAAAAAAACTTGCCATTTGGAAACATCTGTCTCCGGACATCAAACAACAATATGGAGAGGGCTACATTGAAAAAAGTGAGTTTGATCATAGATGCAGTGTCTTCTGGGATTCCCCTCTCCTGCTCAGAATGAAGGAGTTACAGACAGCAGTGTGGATCTTTAGTAGGAGTACTAAGTTCAGAGTTACCTCTGGCTTCTCTGAGTGATCATGAGTGCTTACTAAGAAACTAACAAATGCCAAGATTTATACTAAGGGTTTCTGAATTATGTCATTTATGGACAGAGGCTTTGCAGGGTAAAATGTCCTTTCTAGGGTGCTCTGCATCTCCTGGTCATACCAGGGTCTGAAGCCAGCAGCCTTGCTCTCTGTAGTCTTCCTCCCTACACACACTTCATCTTATTACTAAACACAAGCCACTTGTTCAGCCTTGCTCACAGATCTGTGGAGGTGACAAACGATGGAGAAGACTCAGAATGTGGCCCTTATATTGTTCCATAGCTGACAACAAAAGAGGAACCAAGTAAAACTGTGAAACAATGAGACTATACAGCACCAAGCAGACAGACCCTCTGCAGGGCAAGCCAGAGAGCCAGAAGTGAGACCACTGGTATGGGCTCTAATAGCCCAGGAAATTACAGAGCAGGAAAGGGGCTCATGCTGGTTTGAATAAGGCTTTAAAATCCAAGAGTTATTTGAGTGGAGGAAGCTATCAGGGACAGGAACACATGGAAGGGGAAGAGGAAGAAGAGGTAAAAATGAGTCAAAAGACTGAGGCAAGGGGAGAGACGAATAATGATTCCGCAGTGATGACTAACACTGTGAGCATTTACAAAGCGCTCATCCTCCTTCTACATGCCTCACACACCCGCCGTGTTCATTTATAATCCTCGAGTTCTGCGGAACAGCTGCTGTTATATCCTTCATTCTATAGAAACAGAGACACAGAGTGGTGAAATTGCACAGCTAGATGTGAACCCAGCACAACTGTGCTGTGCGTTCTTAGGCACTCATCCAAAAGAAGCGATGCAGCGAACACTTTGGTCAAAGTTCCTGGCTTAGGACTCTTCTCCCAACTCCAGTTTTTCTGAACCTGTAATGTTTATTTGATGTTTCTCAAATACAGAGTTTTTGCCTTTAGAGGTAGCAGGTCCTGCCTCCCTCCGAGTCACACTGTCCCTCCCAAATGTGGCTCTGCCTCTTCATTAGTTACAGTAACACAGTGTACTATGACAAGGTTCAAGACCAAAAGTTTGAACAGAGATTCAAGATTCAAATCAGGCCGGGCGGTGGTGGTGCACGCCTTTAGTCCCAGCACTTGGGAGGCAGAGGCAGGCGGATTTCTGAGTTCGAGGCCAGCCTGGTCTACAGAGTGAGTTCCAGGACAGCCAGGGCTACACAGAGAAACCCTATCTCGAAAAAACAAACAAACAAAACAAAAAACAAACAAACAAACAAAAAAGATTCAAATCAGAAACACATATGGAAGTTTTCAAAACAATAGACATTCCCAACCAATCAATATGATACACACACACACACACACAGGCGCGCAAAAAGGCTCCTGAGGATTTCAACTAAAATGCCTGATTGACAAACTTTCCAAAGAGTGTCTCTGTAAACTTAGAGCTATCACCATATCACAGAAGCTGTATTTCTTGCACTGACTCTAAAGGTTTTGTGTAGGTCAAGGAGACAGACTGAATTTAACCCTGCTGGACTTAACACTTCAGAGACAAAGTCCGTCATGTAAAAGAGTTTTATATTAGATAATTATGCTGATGCTGATAAGTACCTATGGCTATATCACAAAGTTCCATCCATTTTTTTTCTATTTTGGCACATAACAATTGTACATATTTATGAGGCACAGCATAAGAATACCAACAGTGATAATCAGACCAAGGTGGCTGGTGTATTGATTTTCCTCAAATATTTATCATTTCTTTGGATTGAAAACATTCAAACTTTTCTTGAGCGTTGAACCCAATTTTATAGTGATTATCAAATATTAAATATTTAATAATTTAAACAATAATTTAAACTAGTCATCAACACTTAACTATGTTCTTTAAACAACTTGTGGCTACTTAATAAATATTCCCATTACTTATTAGGTTTCCTAAACAATTGGGAGCCTGCGGTCTAACACGGTAGGTTTTCCTCTGAGAAGACATGGCTCAGATGTGTTTGAAAGCATGTGAATATTATAGGGTAGCTGTACTTTGCATGTTTCAAGGAAGCCTCCTACCCATTTCTATAATTGCTGCTTCATCACTCGTCACTCTGATGGTCCACTATAATGTCTTGCCGTGGGTTAAATTTGAGCGCTAGAGCAATTCATGTACTGTGACTAACACATTCACATACACAGCCACTGGCCCTGTTTAGGGCCTCTTGAGAAATATTTGTTTGGTTCTTTTTGATGTTTCAAAAATCAGATTGTTCAATTTTTTCCTATTGAGTTGTTGGAGTTCCTTTATATTTCTTTGTGGATATTAACCCCTTATCAATGTATGGTTTGCAAATATTTTTTCCCAATCTATGAGTCATCTCTTTGCTCTTTTTACCACTTCCTTTGATGCACAGGAAATTGTTAATCTGATGCAGTCCTGTCCATCCGTTCTGACTTTTATGGTCTCTGCTGTATGGATCAACTTCAAAACTTACTGCTTGGTCCAATTTCAGAAAGCTTTTATTCCGTGATTTATAGTGTTAGGTTCTACTTTCAAGTCTTTAATATGTTCTGAGTTGACTTTTATATTCAGGATGAGATAAAGTTCCAATTTCATTCTCCTGCCTGTGAATGGCTAGTTTTTCTCTTTTATTGAAGAATCCAGGGTTCCAAATCATTCCCAATCCCTTGTGAGATTATTTGACTCTCTGTGGGATCTTAGGTCATGACTCAAACACTTCATTTGCCCAACAACTGGAGATGTTTAAACTTCTGGTTTAGGACAAAATTGTAGAGCTGTGTGGTGTCTAAGTTCCCTCCCCACCCTCGTAAGCCTGCATGTACACTCACACACAAGGTCATGCAATTAATCCTATTTTCTATAACACAGTACTCTTTAGGATAAATTAGAAATCAAACTCATGACTTCCTGGAGATAAGGTCCTCATGGACTCTGTACAGCATCCTTTCTCTACTGCCTTTAAAGAAATAGTCCTCAAAGACCTCAGATCAGCAGCATCACTTAAAAACTTGTGGAAAATGCAAATGCTAAGACGTACATCATACTTACTGGCTCAGGAATTCCATACGCAAAACTCAGAAATCTGGGTTTCAACAAGCATTGTAAGGAGATTCTGCTGCCCTCTCAAGTTTGAGATGAGATCAACTGGCCTAAAGAAGACATTCCACTAACCTTTTCTGGAGAATGGAAAGCCATTCCAGTGAGCCTCATGTATAACGGCAAATTAAAAATAAAGTCCCTATAATGAGTCTTCCTGTTTACACCCTAGCTTCCCACTGATTCTCCATTTCTGCCCAAGAGTGAATGCATTTTGTCTTTCTTTTTTTTTTTATAGGTCTACACAAACTCAAAAGCAATACCTCCTCGGTGAACTTGGACCTCTCTCTCGTGGTAGAGTGCATGGACCATGCCCTAACAAGCCTCTTCCCCAAGACTCGGTACATTGCTGGGAAAGACGCCAAGACATTTTGGATACCTCTGTCTCACATGCCAGCAGTTTTACAAGACTTTTTATTGTTGAAGCAGAAAGTAGAGCTGGCAAATCCCAAAGCTGTGTGACTTAACTGACCACAAATGCCTGCCCCCAGTTTCAAGATTGACTGATTTCAGAGACTTATCACCTCGATCTCATTCTTTACCAGACCCAACTTGGACTCAGTTATACCATGTTTCTGTTTATAAAAGAAGATATTCCATGGTCCCTTCTTAAGTCTTTTGTGAAAATAAGGACAGAGAAGGCCTATCACATAAGCCAGTCCTGCCTGATACTGAAGCTTTGCCTGATTGGTAAGATGAAAGAGAAATTGATGCTCCTTACTAGTTCAGCAATCCAGATTGTTAAACATTGTCTCTTATCAAAATGTTAAGCTATAAGAAGTCTTTCATTAGTGGATCCAATGGCTCTGTTATCTGGCAGAGAAGAAGACTCAGGCTGGGACTCACTACGTTCTGATAAGCTTTGATAAGAACAGGAAAGAGATAAAAGGCACTGTTACACAGAGCACTTGTATGAACTGAGAGGTGGTTAGAAATGGGGAAGAAGTAGAACAGCAGAGAAAGACAGGGAATGAAAGGCAGAGAGACTCCAACACAAGCCTCATACTCCAGAGGGACACAGAGGACACACTACTGCTGTTACCATGAAGTCACAGCATCTGGTCCTAGCCCTAGAGGCACCTCACCTCTGGCTTCATCTAGTTGCAGTCAGCCACCTCACAGCGGAAGCTGTTGGCTACAGCTGCTCATTACAAGGGCCAGGGTCTTGACTGCGTCTCATGGCTTCAGACTCTGTGGCTTGCTTGCTGCCCTTTGACTTTCCTGATGTGCCAAGGCTACCAAGATTTGCAGAATCCAATGGGAACTCCTTCACTGATCTTCCCACCATACTAGTCCAATTGCCCAACCTTCTAATTCTGTCTTTGTTTTGCCTCATCCTGAGATGCTTATTATTCTTATTCCTTTAAATAGCTACAATTCACTTATTCTTTCTTCCAATCAAAAACTAAGTGTCATGCGGTCTACCACTAAAAGCAAGCTTGCCAGCTGCAGCATCCGCGTTAGCAGTGCCAGCTGCACTTCTGTTAAGCTTTGAGTACTTCCTTCTTAGCTGTAGTTCTGCCATCAGCCTCCCCTGAGTAGGCTTGCTCAGCAGAACACGATGGCTGCTCTTTACTTGTTGGTTCAGATATACTACGAAGGAGCCTGCTGCCATAATAACCTATCCTGAGCCCAAGGGGTCACTGGACAGGCAAGTGTCAAGAATTGATTACTTATGTCTGTAGCTGGATGTGGGGCGTGTGCAAACTGTCCAGGCTAAAGAGAATCTCTTCTATTTAAACTATCCCCAAGACCCTAAAACATCTGTGGGTAGCTCATCCTAGTATAAAGAGAAAAAATCCTAGGAAAATGCTCAAGTTTTGCCTTTCTCCACAGTATTAACCCCAATAGTTCTTGAGGGCATAAGACATCACAGACTGATTTACTGACATGAAGAAATTGCCAAACATGAAAAACTCTGCTACCTCCAAGTGATTTAAGTTTATTTTAATCTAAGTGATGGCCTCCTGAATTCTTGCATGCAAAGGAGACAGTTCTGACTGTTACATTTACCTAACTCTGGGGTCCCTTCGCCCTTCTTTTTGATATGGAGGCTCAAATCCAGAATCTCATGCTATACCGCTGAGCTACACCACACCCCAGTTTGTGATTTATTTTTAAAAAGGAAAATGTCATATTTTCCATCTTAGTTTATGAAGCGTTGTCCTAGCCAGAGCATTGTTGCAGTCTGTAGTTTACAATTTCCAAGCTTTCTCCTTTGGAAAACCTGCCTGAGAAAGATGCAGATCCGAAGCCCCACTTGGTGCCTGGAAATAGGATAAAACCTGAAATGGATCAGGCAAAAACAACACAACCTTCTGTCATTTTTGAGTCAGGGCAGTCATCAACTGCCCTAAACTGACCCATTTTACTGCTCTTGGAGAAATTGGAGACAGAAAGGATTCCACTATGGATCTATAGCCTAAACTGTGGACAACAGCACACATAGTGAAAGGTTTATCCTCAGCCTTCAGTCCGGTTTTCTTCTTCCTTGGCAGCTATGACTTGAGTATATGTGAATGAAATGGTAGCACCTGGACTAGAAAGCAGACAATGCAACACACACACACACACACACACACACTCCAGCTGGAAAAAATAATGCCCCTGGTAACTTAGCAGATGCTTCCTGTGACATAGAGTCTTAGTACAGTTGCTATGCCTTACAAGAACAGTTTCATCTAACCCTCACTACACTTCAGTCAGTCAGCTGTGCGTTTTAGACTTGGGGAGACGAACTCAGCCACTCAAGTAATTTTCTGTATTTTAGAGTGCTCGTCATCTTGGGCTAGGGGTCACCCAGGTAGCCTCATTCCAAAGCCCATACGCAAAACACTGCTGTGTGATAAAGAACCCAAGGCTCTCGAAGTCTTCCTAAACCTCGATTCTGACTATACAGAAGCAAAAGCCTTTATTAACCAGCGTGACATCAGTCATGCCTGCTCAACAATGGTCATAAGTACAAGTGTTATATAATTCTGAGAAACCTGTAGATATACACTTATTTTTGTTTTTGTAAATTCTCCTATTTCTTAATAACAGCAATTTTACGCAGTGTTTCTGACACCATTTCTAAATTTTCTTTCCCTTCCCTTCTCTTCTTTGTCATCCTCAATCGTATTTGCTTTCTGTTACTTGCTTGTGGAATTTGTTTGTGATTGTTCTTTGCTAATCTCAATGACCTTCACTCACCTCTCCTCACCCAAGAGTCAAAATCTTTTAGCTTTTAAGATCAAACAAAAAGAAAGACACCAAAAATCAGGTGACACAAATACCAAGTCTCTTATTGCTGTTGTGTTTTGCTTTTTGTTTTGAATAAAAAATATTGACAGTCTGTCGTGGTCCCTGTAGCTAGGGCTAACTAAGGCACTGAAAGAATGGAAAGAAACTGGATGAGTTCAGAGCCTCCATCCCTACCAGACTGCAATCTAAGAAAATGCCAGTAAACCACTGAACAATATGATTTGATAGGAATAACCCACTGTTTGTCTCAGAGACATTTCATGGAGCACATTTACGATGTCACACTCTTCTGCCCTGACATCACTGAAGAAGGGAAGGTCACCACCTTCTAATTGCTTTGTCAGTTAGCTCCAGCTACTAGAACACTTCAGGGCTCCTGCGCCCACTTCCATCATCATAAGAAGGATTCTCATTCATTCAATTTTTCAAACAGCCATGCTCCACCCCAGAGCGCAGTCCATGTATTTTCTATGAAGTCTTTATGGCTGTTACACAGAAGATACATTTACTGTTCTCTTTGACAAATGGAAAACGTAAGATCCGAATTCTTGCATGTATAATAATCTGAGCTAATTTCCCCATCCTTGAAGTCTAAGAAAAAAAGGAAGAAATGGGTGGGGAAAGGAAGAAAAAAAAGGCACATGTCACACAATGAATGTTAAATACACGGGCTCCCTGTGAATTCTTTCCGGCATGCTGGAGCCATCGTAGATTAGCAATTGACAAACCCCAAGTGCTGAACATTATATAAGACAAGACTCTTGGCTACAGGCTCCACTTTCTCCGCTCCCTGGAAATTTTGTACTTTTCCCCCACATTTAATTTGTGTGTGTGCGTGTCCATGCGTATGGTGTATATAGGGTTGAGTGTACCACTGCATGTATGTGGAAATCAGGAGACAACTTGTGAGAATCAGTTTCCTTCTTCTACTCTCTGAGTCTGGGAGTTCCACTGTTTGGAAACCAGATACTGGGGGTTAGCGGCAATTGTCGTTAGCCACTGAGCCATCTGGCAGGTCCATGTGCCCTAGGCCTCTAAGAGGATGGTGGAGAAAGGAAAGCAAGTGCTTCTCTCATTTCCTGCTCTCCAACCCCTGCTGCAAGAATCTGTGTAAGAAACTCAGCTTCTCGTCATAAGTATCAATACAAATCGGCATTTACAGGGTTCATAGATTGCTTTCAGAACAAAAGAAGAAAAAGTTTCCTGGCCAGATCCTTAACCCTCAACTCTTCTTTAGACCTTCTCCCTTCTCCCTACAGGCCACTCCTTTACCTCCAAATTGGAAAGGGATCAAGTCTGAGGGGAATATTCCATCCATGGTTCCATTAGACACAGAGACAGGTGTGTTGACACAGCGAGGCATATGAGGAAACAGAACCCTGGTTTAAAAAAATACTTCTGTAAGTTCAAACCATGGGCTAACATGGTAAAGACACAGAGTTTTGTTTGTGCTTCCAAAATTCAATTCTAGGATTCACAGCCTCACTGCAAACACACTAAAGAGTTTTGTGCAAGAGGCAGCCCAAAAATGAGTCAACAGAGTGATGTAACAGTGTGTTGTAACCATACCTCTACCTCCATAAGGAAAAATACAAAAGAGGCCCTGACCTTGGCCTAACTTTTTTAAAAATAGCATATATATTCATTGTTTGTGTTACTATTTGAATAAAGGTGTTTTCATACAAGTGTGTACTGGACAGGGAACATACTCCCTCACACTCTCCACTCTCTCCTTCTCGTCCTTCTCGACTCCTGTCCCCTTTGTTCCCCTAGACAGCTTCAAGTCCACTTTTTTATGTCATTTATACTGATAGGCTTCTATGTATTTGTACAAAATCCAGGACTCAAATAAAAGATGGTATTTGTCTTTTTAAAACGGGTTTGATTAGATAAGTATGATTCTCTCTGGTTGCGTCCACTTGCCTGGAAATGATGGTTTTTGTTCTTCTTCACGGCTGAAGATGGATTCCCTTGTTTATATATGCAATGTTTTCTTTATGCATTTATCTCTGTTGCTGAACACGTAGGTTGGTTCCATAATTTAGCTACTATGGTTGCTGACACAAGAGACAGCAATATGCATGGATCTTCTGTGACATGTTGAAGTCCTTTGGGAAAAAATACCCAGAAGGGATATAGTAGGGTCACATGGCAGATATAGTTTCAATTTTAAAAAATAAAGTATGCAAGTTTACATTCCCACCAGTAGTATATAAGATAAAGATTTGCTTTGGCTCTCATGCTCACCAGCATGTTTTCTTAATGTCTGCTTGGCCTAAAATTTCAATGAAGAGAAGAAGGTTGACAAAGGCTGTTATCTGCTCTTATATGTTCAGAGCATTCTTGGGAGCCCTACTC